ACCGCCTTTCTAATACATTCCTTTCAGAGTTCGGGGGGGTAGAGGTAGTGTGTGAGTATCTCGTTTGAAATTTTTGGATGTGAAAATAGAAAATAAAACGGATGTTCCACTCTATATCCTTACGATTGTTTTTTGTATTTGTAGGGTCCAGCGGGAGCACAAGGACCCCCTGGTGAAGATGGACCTATAGGAATGGAGGTTTGGATTTTTCTTTTGTTTGTTCTACGCCCGTTTTGCTTTTGGTGATGGAAGGGGGGTACCTTCCATGGACAAGCATCCCACTCACCCTCAAGCAATTTTATGATTTTATGCTCAAAATGGAGAAAGACACAGGAGGTTATGGGCCATTTGACCTTTAGGGCCTTACCCTCCCTCTCCCTCCCCCCCCACCCCACCCAGTTGACCCTTTTGTTGTCAATTTTGATAATACTTTCTTTTCAATATTTTAGGGCGCAGGGGGAGCTCAAGGCAATCCTGGGCCACCAGTAAGTCATTTGATTTAGTTACTCAAATTTTATACTATCTCAGTGAAAGCTGCCTTCATTTTTAGCCATATGACTACCTAAAAATTAATTGGATCTGTATGTGCCCTCACTGTACACTTTCCACCCTGATATTAGCATTCATCTTCTCCACACTGTTCTCTTTACTTTTCCTGTTGTAGTGACAGGGAGAATTTGTTTGAAAATCAGGAGTTTCTTAGATAGTGATCACTTCCTTCTTTTCTCATGGCCTCAGTCTTTGATTCATTGATGATACTGTATTGAGAAATTAGAAACCAGACACTCTTAGAGGTTAAACGGTTAAAATGAAAAAAGACTGTGTGGAAGAACGAAGTGTTTGTAAATAGTTGAAATTTGTGATAAAATGTACAAAGTTTTTACCATTTATCAGCCAAAACTCTAACTCATCTACTGGTGGTTTAAAGCGTGATTCCCCCTAGACCCTGACAAAAGAAAACTTGTATAATTCCCCAGTACACGGAAACTCATAAATAAAGAACGAAATTTAGCCCTTTACACCCTAACATTAGTTATCAGATTCTTCATGCTTATCTTCATACATTTCCTGATCTTATGATTCAAGGTTGATAGTGTGTCCCGAAATTAGAAGCAAGTCACTTTTAGGAGTCAGCGGATTACTGATTCCTGGTTTCTTCTTGTATTTAGGGTGGGCGTGGACCAACAGGCGAAGATGGAATGGATGTAAGAACAAAACTAGAGACGCTGCACGCTCGTTATTTACTGCTAGGAGGGGTTGAGGGAGTTTGAGAGGGAGCCAATGAGGAATTAGTCGTCGCCAGCAAAGTTTAAAAGGGGACTTAAAAAGATTGACTCCGAGCCAACTTAGGCGTTAAATGTCGGCCTGTCCCAAATCGCGAAGTTGACATCAGAGCTGAAGCTCCAAATTTGGAAGATGGAGAGGAAGACAAAAACGCGTTATATTTTGGGCCGGTAACGCATTTTTGTGAGAAAATCGGATTTCCAATTTTGTTTGAGTATTAAATTCCATTACCGTAAATCTTGTTGACAAAATTTTCTCAGGCAAAAAAGGGATTGTATTAATGTGACGTACAGCCAAACGGGGGTTTTTTTCAAACTTCTTCAATTGTGCAAAACGGTAGCTTTTCTTACGGGCGCTCTCAGAGGTCGATTGGTTTATTTGGGAGGAAGTACTGTATCTAAACACGGTTGTGGTGTTACGCTTTTTTGAGTTTCACAGCACACTCTGAAAACATTTCAAAGCTTTCGCAACACTCGGAAATTTAAAAAAAATGAAGTATAAATAGTAAGGCAATGGGAAAAAAGTTGCCATAATTTAATTCGAGGTTTGGCTACAAAGCAGAAATACACTAGAGAACGAAGTGCGTCTGCGTCTGCGTCTGCGTCTGCGTCTGCGTCTGCGTCTGCGTCTGCGTCTGCGTCTGCGTCTGCGTCTGCGTCTCGGGTTTGCATAACTTCTTTTCAATTCTCTCAACCTTTCTCGTGATTTGTTGAGACTATGTAAACACAGCAATAGTCCTGCATTGCTTAAGTAGAATTCATATCTGTGCGTTTGATGAAAGTATCTTTCCTAAGCGGCGCCCTCCGACAAGCAGACGTATTCACTGATATTCGCACTTTAACGTAATCAACAAACAAACGTTGGAAACTATCCTTAGCTTCGTTCTTTTGTTCTTTCCTTCTTTTTTAGGGAGACCCAGGCCCTCCCGGTCCGCGAGGACCTATGGTAAGACAATCATCATTACTCACCATAGCAGACAGCTCTACTTTACCGATATCCTTTAAGATTACTCTTGGGATGGGTAATCCCTGTTCAGATCTGTTTAAATCTTCTATTCCGGGTTTTAGTTAAGGTTTTTTCGGGGACTTGAAAGTAAACTGGAGAGAGGAAGTGGACGGTGACGAACTAGTTCCATCGAGTTTAGGATATGGGAGGGGAGGGGGGGGGGCAGTGATCGACTTCTCATCATTAGTGGTCGTGTTTCTGTTCTTGTTCCAATGATGTTTTCGCCGCTTTATTTTTTGTCGTTTGTTCGTTTTCTTGTCTGTTGTTTTTTCACTTTTTTCCCTTCATGCCTCCATTCTATAGGGCCCTCCTGGAATTAACCTCATCGGCCAAATTGTAAGTGGTTTTCTTTTTCTGTTATTCTTACAATTAGTGTCATTAGATTGTTTTCCCTTTAAAAGCTGCTTTAATTTTTAAGTAAACCTTTACAAGGTTTATCTATGTTATCCTCTACGAGGGCTACAGAAAACAACGAAAATGCGCTAGCTTTATCTAACCACAATTTTTATAGTCTTTCAATTATTTAATGTGCATATGTATTTGTATTACAAGTATCTGCTTACCATATAAGTAAACAGCCTTACTCACTACCCGCCTGGCTTTCGCTATTTTGCTATCTCAATAAAATCTTTCATCTGTAATCCGATCTTGATGCCATGAAATGAGATCACGACTACATTGAGTTTAGGAGATGAAACACTTTTTGCAACGTCATTCACAAGGATTAGATGTCCCAGTTACTGAATTTTTCACGAATTGGTTTTCCAACCATGGTATCTGGGTTCACTCGAAGAATACGCGCGGCCATGTTGCATCCTCTGTAATTATTGTATGTGAGGCAGAAAGCAAACTTTTCTCGCTTTGTTTACAGTTTACTGGAGCCGACAACAAGGGACCACCACCAAACTTTCGACTGTACTCGAGCTCAGAGGTAAAACTGTCTTTACACGAAACACAGTATTATATGGTTAACATCAGTGGGAACATATTGAGTGCCATCTTATGATTTACGAGTGCGCACAGAAAACACATTATTTCTGGCCCCTAGGGTAATGATAAACCTCCTTGAGAACGGGCCCCTCTCAGAAATTTTGATAGGGGTGTGCCACTTATTTCTTTAATTTTGGCCCTATGTTCATAATGTCTGGGTCTGAAGGGAAAGGGGAGATCTCCATGGGTACAGGGTAACCCCGGAAATCTTTATAAGGGTGTGCCGGCTGTTTCATCAATGTTTTCCTTTTACTCTTTAGTTTTGGTCTAGAGGTAAACGATACAGGGGTTCATGATGTGTGAAGGTTTTTTTTTTTTTTTTCATTCAAGATGTTATAGCTATCTTCTTTTCGGGTCAGCCACTCCTTTCACGCAATTCCTAACAACGTCATGTCACCGACTTTAGTCGCACTCTAATCATATACGTCAGCCGATGTATTACGTGCACGAAGCTCTTGTCAAAAGTATACCGCGCAGGTCACATGATCTCTAATCAACCAATGGTAATCGAATTAAGAGAATAAAAGAAAGGAGAAAAGTGTTGTTTCTTATTGAGTCATTTCCCAGGGGTACTGAGACTGAAGAACTACGAACACCTTTCATTCAATCGCAATAAGAATTTACTTATGATTTATTTCTGCTGTTTTTAATCTTTGTCTAGTTTTTCTTGGGTTTGCTTCATATTTTGTTGGCCTGACTTTTTTCTTATTTGTTGCCTTTTGTACAGAGTACTTCATCTCGAGAAGAAAATCGTATGCTTGAGGTAAGCATACATTTGATCAACTACAATTACAATTTTATTGTTGTTCGACCGTTGTTACAAATTGCGAGATATACAAGTGGTGAGCATGACGAGGGTCTTCAGCTTGAATAAAGAGTTTATTTTAGCAACACAAAATCATACCCAAAGAACGTTCCTGGGGGGTTTTATCAAAAGCAGTTATTATTTTCGTCCTCGTTGTCGTCTTTATTATTTGCATCATTGCTATCGTCATCATCATCATTATCAGCTTCATCGTCATCATCATCATTGTTCTAATTGTTATTATTATTATTATTATTATTATTATTATTATTATTATTATATTTTGTACTATTATTATCACTATTATTGATTTCGGTGGCTGATGGCTGATTAACTCCCTTTTCTTCAGCACCCTGAAATGAAAAAGGTCTTGGATGGTCTCTCCCAACACACTGATCTGTTTAGACGGCAAAAAGGCAGCAGATATCACCCAGCCCGCTCCTGTCGAGATTTGCAGCTTGATCTTGACAGTGACGATACTGTGCACAGCGGTAGGTATCGTGAGATCCAGTTAGAACAGTTTTCAATTGTGTGTGAAAAGCAATGCTGGATTGTACTGGTTTTGCCCATTTTGCTTTGTGGTTGGTACAGATATAGCGCGCAACTTTTTAGACCAATGAGATGAGTGTAAAACCAAAAGCAATTACGACGAAGTCAACGACGTTTCCCGCGCTGTCATAAAGTTTCATTCAGTTCCTATTGGCTCCCTGTGATCTCTCCTTCATCGTCATTGGTAGTTGAGAATTGGTTTTGATTTTGCGTATTATGTCTGTCAATGGAAACAAACCCTCGTACAAAGCCATGTGAAAGTGAAGAGAGAAAAACAGAAAGTTATTTTTACCTATTCGTGTCTGAGAACTGGGGCCAGAATAATGGGAACTTAGGTCGTAGAATTCATGGCGCGGAAATCAAGGCTTGCTAAAAAGTTTTGCTTACGCGGTTTTCCAGATTTGTGTAACTCCAATGAGCGTTTGTTTCGTGTGTTAAGGTACTTCGTAGGTGTTAGTTCTCATTCAGCGCTTGTTCGCAATTTGAAAAATTGCAGTATACGAAGCGAATTGTCTCAAGATGAATGACTATAGATATATGAAAATCATACATGTGAACTGCGGATTATGACAGACACAACAGAGTTCTAGGAAACACAGCCAAGCTTAGAAATGATAGGGACTGTACAAAAAATGAAATTTCTCATACCTTTTCACCCCTTACCTTCTTAATACTGATCTTATTTCATCATGGTTTTATTCTCGCCTCCAGGCTTCTACTGGATCGATCCTAATGAAGGTTGCATCAGTGATGCTGAATACGTTTATTGCGACTTTGAAAACAACAGAGCTTGTGTACATCCGAAAAAAGAAAATGTGAGTTTACTTTGTACTCCCTTGCATCTCCAACTACCACAAATGCTCCTTTTACTCTGTTGTTTTAAGTCTACTCTGTTTATGTTTTCAACAAAGAACTTTACTTTGACAAGTGGATTTGCCGAGGAAGACGTGCCACTGTGAATAAATTTTGCCTCTTGTTTTCCAGATTACCATAGATGATCCGAAGGCCAAGCAATGGATCAGCGAGGTTCACCCGGATGTAGAGCTTGTGAGAAGTATTTTAAGCTGGCCTTAGATTAAACAAGTCTTTTACCATGCGCATTGTTATGATCGTGAAGTCACCACTCAGATACGTTATCATGTTTACATCCGACTCGTCTCAATTTTCAATCTACAGAGGCCGTGGAAAGAAGCAAAACTGTTTCCAGGGGAGATTGGGTCGGGGAATTGATGGGAACCTCCAGAATAAAGAACCTGGAAAGCATGGACGATTAATCCCCAAGAATTTTTTAAAACTCTCATGTGACTCTAATAGTCACAAAAAAACTCTTCTTTTTTTCTTACAAAGCCACGGAATATAGTGGAATTTTCAAAGTCGAAAGAATTGTCAAGTAATTGTTAAAAGGCTACAATTTCTCGACTGAACCCTTTACTTTCATTTCAGATTTCATACAACATGGAACCTGCACAGATGAAGTTCTTGCGTCTTTTGAGCATGCGCATCACCCAGAATGTAACCTATCACTGCTACAACTCACGCGCATGGGAAGATGATAATGACCGCACCATTAAACTCCAAGGAGAAAACGAAATGGAACTAACATCATCTGAGAAAACAAAGCCCAAAGTCGTCACCAACAGCTGTGATGTGAGTATTTACTTCATTGCTCATATTTCTTTCGAAAGAGCCACAAAACAAGTAGGTTTATTTTTCCTCTTTTCTGTTCGGTTGAAAATAACAAAACTTGGTCAGAAATCAAGTGCGTGATTTTAAAATCGACCGAGGGGTAGTGCCTGTGCACACGAGGTCGAATGGAAATCACAAGTATGAATTTGCTCGACACGATGTTCAACGGCCACTTTTCTTACATTCGTTTTGAAATCGCACAATTCAATTGCCTAAATTTAGCGTTATGGCCAACAACAATATTAGCTTGATCTTGATGACGTTTGGCGTTCATCTTTCATAGAAATCTTAATAATTTTTGTTCGTCTTGTTATTGTCAGGATTTGTGAAATTGATACAGTTGAATACGCATAAACGAATTGATTCCAGATTTAATCTAATGAGAAACTTCCGATTTTGGTTGGTCAATTTGTTAAAGTCGTAAACCCAGCTCATATGGTTGGCTTCCGGGGTTTCTCCTCTTCCCACCATTTCCTAGAGTCCCTTTCCTCCTCCTCCTTCGCACACGCATGCGCGTCACGGCATTTAACTTTCATTCGTCTTCTTTTGTAGAATAAAGACAGTTCTTGGCATCAAACTGTTCTCGAGATCGACACGACGCAAAAGAACGCTTTGCCTGTTGTGGACGTAGCAGCTTACGATGTGGGAGACATGCTTGTTGAGCAGAAATTCACTATTCAACTTGGACCTGTGTGTTTTGTGTATTAGCTGGAAGTTAACGTGTCAAGCAAACAAATTTAGTGTAAATTTCATCCGTGGAAAAGATTTTAGGATGGGTTTGAAGTTTGCTTAGTTATTTAGGTCAATCTATACGACTCTGAAGTTCCCTGTTATAGTCTTACTTCGCAAAAAAGATGTGGTTCTCGAGTATAGTTCTTGGGAAATAAACTAGAAACAATTTCCTTGTCAGTGAAACTGGCTTATCCGGCGATTCTTCTTCTTTTTTTTCATAGCTGTTGATGGAAATTCTTATCCTTTATAGAAGATTTCCGTAAACTGAAGAACGTTTCCGAAGTAGGACAATAAAGAGATCTAGCCAATTAGGTCACTCGAGTACCAGAATGAAAAAGTTGTTATTTAAATGTAATTTTTGATATAAATCATTTTAGTGGCATGGCGTAATCCTGATATTGATATCTTTTGCGTTTCTGAAAAGATATTTGAAATACACTGTTCCTAACTCATATTCACCCCAAACCAATGCATAACACTTGTTGAGGAGGTATCAAAATGGTAATTTTGAATAGCTGAACAGTGAAGAAATTACCATCGAAAATCGTTGGATGTTTCCTGTGGAGTGGCAGCTTGTGTGATAGATGCAAAAATAAAAACGATCCTTGATAAATCATTGCTTTATTAGGAGAAAGTAGCGGTGTACAACGCCACCCGCATCCCGCCAACCACACCTTATTGCACCCCCGTTTCAGTGCTGAGAGAAAACGGAACACCTGCTCGCATGCTCAAGGAACGATTGCTTACATGACAAGCGTGGGTAAGGCACATGCGCATGTAATTTCAGGAAGCATGTGATACTTATGAGCCGCACCAGGAATTAAAGCTCCTCACTCGCACGCGCACAGGCAAGCTTCTCGTGCCAGGTTAGCATGGAGACTTTACTGTATGCTATGCGGGGAAGATGTAAATAAGTACATGCGCCACGCGCTTGGCTCTTTGGCAAAGACAAAAGACGGGGTCGGTTGCGACTGTATGGCTTAAGTAATGAGGTGCTTCCCTTGGCGTGGGGGAAAATATGTAGTATGAAGCGAGTATCGGAATTACCAGACTTCGAAGAAAATTCTAAGAAGGAAAATAAAAAAAGGGATGGAGACGATTTGACAAGGATGTAAATTCCTAACTGAGAAATAATTTACGATATTTTCGGAATTGCGCAAACCGATAGGCGAGCAGTATTCTGTTGGCTGAAAACTTAGGAAAACGCTTTGGGGTGCAGCATAACTTTCTTCACATACGGCCTCTTCCTATGTTTGTGCACGGAAGAAAGTCATGCTTCGTCTCATGTTACTCGCCGCAGTTTGCGATTGTGTGTTGATAGCTTTAGAAACTTTATAGTGGATAGACGAACCTAGATTGAGCGGCATCGTCTTGAGGTCACCCTGTAATTAATAAGTGGTCAGTCATCAAAGTTGTCTCGTCTTTTACTTTAATTCTCACCTTATAAAGCGGTCTTCACCAATCCATCACCCTTCACCAATCCTCAACAGCCTCTTTTTTGCTTTTTTCTTTGTTTTCCTCCATAATCTTTCAATTTTTAATCCTTGTTTATCTCCTAAAATCAAAGTAAGTGGGTTTCTTTTTTTTTAGCGAGATTCTGTGGTCAATGAAGGCATAAAGTAACGTTGTGTATCTTTTTTCATATTATCCCTAATCCGTGAAACCTAAATTAAGCTCACAACTTGTATTAAGCGGTCACTCCGGCCTTCCCTGCCGCTTAAGACCGCTTAAGACAGGTTCGACTGAACCGGAGTTGCATGATTAGCCTCGAATTGATGTGCTCGACCAAATTTATCAAACGCGGGCTGTTTACTGTCGAAAGTATCTCAGAGCTGCAATGTTTCATTTTTTTGCTCTGTAATTGGTCTAAAAACACGCACGCACATCCCTCTCATGCAACCAATCAGATGTAGAACTAAAGTCGACGGCGTGTTGCCATCTTCGTTTCCACGAAGTTTGATTGTTTTGACTCTGAGTTTCCATAGGCTCCGTGTGATACATTCGTTTATTGTGATTGGTTTTGGTTATTGCATTGGTATTGGAATGGATAGCTAATGGGGGTTTTTGCAAACAGGGAGAAGTAGCGTGGCTCTAAATTATACTCACAAGGAGGGTTCTCGTTTACAAAAGCGATGAAAGTGTGTACTGTCCCAAAGTGTTGGGGTGGGTGTAATTTAGGCATAGCCTAGCTGTAGTGTTGCATTGTCACGCAACGATGCGCGAAAGGAAGAGAGATTTTGTCCAATAATGAACCTTCAGTGGATATGCAAATAGCATCTGCGTGGTTTACTGAACGAAACAGGGAAGCTATTTGGCCGTTTAGGCTGAAAGCGAGTACAGATTGAAACCTTTCAAAAAGTTTTGAATCGGGTATTGTTTTTCAAGGAACCTTTGGAGGGTTTCCACGTCTTTGTCTTTTCGTCTTTTCTACAAATAATTAGTAACAGAGAAAGAGAAATGACAAAAATGCGGCATTTGAGCTAATTCTGCTGGGAAGAATTTTACCTTTTAACTACTTTCGAACTTGTGCGAATGTCAGTTGCGCGTCACACCAAGCCAGTGGGAAAATCTGCGACCATTAAGTTTATTTTCGGCTTTCAGGTTAGAAACTGGTTTGGATTTTAGAGGCCTGTTCTGTAATGCAAAAACCCCAAAACTGTACCCTGTATGCCGTCACATATCGTACCTGTACAAGTAGAATGAGGGAGCTCCCCGCAGGTTTTTCTTTACACCAAAAGTGAATCCCTTTCGTCAGACACCACTGTGGGATTCATGCCACTTGGGGAGGAGGGGAGAGGCTCTTCTCTAAACAATCCCTGACAGTTTTTTCATCCTGAATAGAGTGGCGAAATGAAAATATTTTGTCAAGAGTGCCCCCCTCTGGTCATACAAGTGTCTATATGACGAAGGTTTTATTCCTCGTGAGATACCTACCAGGTTGGCTTTTTAATTGAAAGGTCCAAATCTTATACGGTTCAATCGAAAGAAAGCGTGACGTTGCTTACGTTATAGTCTAGACATTTCCTGCAAGATTGCATGGCTAACCCTGAAAGCCCTGTTGTTATCAAATATCGACTTTATTCATTGGTCGGTCAAACGACATTTGATACAACTCCACAACAGAGCGATCTTTGCACGATCTTAATTTTCCAGTCGCGCGGGGTTGAGTAGAATTCAGGTCTTGTGCCCGGTGTGTAGTGCTATTAGCATTTTACACTGAAAAGGACCTTTGAAGGTGGCCTACAAGCATGGCCCGTTCCCGAGCGATTGTGCTATTTTCTTCCCTGCTTTTCTTGGTATTTCGCGTCCAAGCAAAGCAATGTGAGTACCTCCTTTATTTCACGAATGGACAATAAGCGTTTCTTTGTGTTAGGCGTCGTCTATATCCCTCGCCTTCTCCGTTTCTCTTCTATTTTTCGCCCTTTTTTTCGAGGTTAGAAAACTCAAAGATATAAGCAGATCATTTCCAGGGATACATACTTGCCTGGCAGTGTGATTTTGAGATGCATATTCTCTGTTTGGTGGGTTTGGTGGGAAATTCTTCAAAGAAATCCAAGACCGAAGCGTTTTTGTGAAGTCTACTGGTATTTCAGTTGGCGATCAGACTACTAATTCAGCTCCATGCATCACGCTTGACAAAAACGTTTGTAGCGCGTGTATCGTCTTAGGCGAAAAACAGGTATTTTCTTGAAGTACGTTTCTGTTCAAAGCGCCACACAGTTATCTTCTGGGTATTCGGATACTGTATAGTGAAGATAATCTTTTGTTGGCGATATCAGATAGAGGTCTGTACGGTTTTAGACTGGTTATATTTGAAAAGGAATACTTAACCACAGAGAGGCTCATCTTGGAAAGTAATTTTCATGTATTTGAATGATCTCCCGTCGAAAATTATACTTTATGTGGCAAGTCGTGACTTAGACAATAACTCTTTATGACTTGTTAACTCTTGGCTCGTCACACTTTCAATACGACAGATTTTGTATTTTATTCGAATGACCTTTCATTCGATTCAGTTTATTCTTTTAGAGTAAAGAAAACAACTCATGTAAAAGCCATGAATCTCCTCAAAATGAGTGGGTAAATTTGATTTTAAAGGATTCATGATGCATACCATAAATATCTCTGGATCTGGAACTATTGTTAAGCGGAGAAAGCGTGACATAACAAGAGCTTATTCATTTAGGATTTGATCGCAATGGAGACAAATTCCGCTCCGTAATTATTTTTGGAAAAAAAGCTGCTTCATCATTCAGTTTTATGAGTCGAACGGAAAATGTTTCTTTGTCAATTGTTAATTGTTTAGCTATGATAATGTAGTGATTCATTTTGAACTATGGAACCATGCGCATGCTTATTTGCGCCTGTTGGAAACATATGACCTTCGGGTCAGCTGAGTTGTGTCAAAGAGTGTCTTGTGGCGAGAGGTAAAGAGTACTGCCGTGTTGTTTTTGGCGAGGCAGCTTACGCTCTTTTTTTTCATTTCCCTTCGTTAAAAAAATCGCCACACTCGTTAACGAAACTGTGTTCTTCAGACGCGCTTTATTGTGGGAATCGCTGTTCGAAATGCTCTTGTCAGGGTCGCCCCGTAACTTACAAAAAAGTCATTCATTTTTTTTATTAATCGTAACTGTCTGTAAGGATAATTTGAGCACTCAAAAAACGTTGTGAATTTTTTCATTTTCCCGCCGATGTGCACGCGGTAATTAGATTTTTCTATAATTTTTTTAAAAAATGGATCATAATTGATTTAAGTGAAGAAAATTACAGTCCCATTTAGTAAGACTATTTTTACCCACGCGATCTCTCCGCAAAATATCGAGGTTAACGATGTGGATTCTATAACTGAACTGGGCTAGATTCAGTTTTGAACTGAGGAAAGTGGAGAATGTTTTTGTTTAGTCTGCCATCAGATATGGAGATGGCAGGGGTTTTCTGGAGAAATAATTAAAAATTTCTGAAAAAGTCCCACAGAGTACTGACAAAATTTCCTCTCACATGCTCTCTTATCTAGGTTTTGAGGAAATAAGATCATTTTCAAAGACTAAATTTTCTTATTTTGGCTGTTCCTCGGGAACAGCCAAACTAAGGCTGCTTTGAAAGACCTGGTGTGAGAATTGGGATACATTAACCTTTTAACTTCTAGAAGTGACTCACATGAAACTTCTCCCTAAAATATCCACACATATATCTAGCAAACAGGTAATGGGAACATTCAAACTTATCAGGTAAAGTTATTATCCTGATCTAACACCAATTTCTTATACCTGATTTGCAAGGACATGTGTAGCAGCTAGAGGGGAGAATTAACATTAACATTTTGATGGTTAAAGGGTTAAGGAATTGTGAGAATTTATTGGTATAATACATTCTATCATCCCTTATTAATGATCTACACCTCTTTGTACACAGTTATTTGTCCAGAATCTGAAGAACCTGCAGAATGTCCACCCGAGGAAGAAGAAGAGGAACCCCTCTGTCAAGGAGAAGGAACTATGGGAAGTGACGCTGGATGCCCACCAAATATGATGTGTTGTAATGTTGGCTGTAATTTGTTGGATTGTGTGGGTAAGTGAAAAAAATTAACTGGAAAAGAATTTTTTTCATTTCAGGACCATTTTTCAAATGCAGAGGTTCTAAACCCTCCTTTTCTTAAGGAACATTTCTGCTTATTGTTCTCACCCCTTTCCAGATTCATGTTCCAGTTTACTACTTACAAACAAGGGCTGAGATCTCTTCCTACAGGGCTTTTCATGAACAGTATGAGTAAATGTGGCAATTCACAATGCAAATTTTGTGGCATTAGCATGGTCTTAGGAGTCTGGGGAGACCTGTATATGGTGAACTAATTGTTAAGTATGATGCATCAATTATAACAGCACAATTTTGTTTTTTGGAATCATAGGGTCATTTCTTATACAGCCACAGTACATTCTTATAATATTCTGTACAGTGAATCCACAATTTGCACCATAGTGTCATTTTGAATTTAGTTTTAAATCTAACTGAGTGAGAGGGTGGTGTATGAATTTTCACGAGTCATAAAATTATTAAAAAACAATTTTGAACATGATTGTTTATCACCTACCTGATTTTAGCATGAAGAGGATAGTGTCCACGTCATTCAAATTGTAGTTGGATGGTGTGGTTGAACAGTATGTGTCGTGCATGCGCCGTTGTTGTGCATTTTACCAAGATGACTGTTGTTTACCTATAAAGAGGGAAAATAACCAACAGTCCAATAGTTTGTTTCTTAAATTTTGTCTTAGTTTGGATTAATTGGCAATAACAGGACTTTGTATTGTCTAATTCTGTTTATGATCATACTCATAATTAGCAAATTGGACTCTTCCAATTTTGTTGATCACTCAAATGTTTACAAACTGTAATAGACTATAATAGGACTCTGTTCAATCCTATTACCTACACTAACACTAAGAGGTAACACAAACAAAACAATCCTGGATAACTTTCAACACTTAATGTTAGGAGTACTCTGAATCATGCAATTCATGCTTTGAAGTTGGTTCTAAGGAGTTGCAGAGGACTGGCCCTCTAGCTTCTGGTTTTCATTAATGCTAGGTAATAATTTTCAATTACTCTATAAACATGCACTGGATATGAGATGGTAAATAGCCAACAAGGCATGTAACTTTAACCAATTTTGAATCCAACCAGTACAATTGGATATTTAAAGCTTTTTTAAGCTCTGCAATAGTTGCATTTCAAATTAAGGTGACTTGGAATATGAGCCTATAACCTGAGTTGAGTGAACCAATAAGAACACCAGAAATGTATTATCTGGAGATAAGAATTTAATAAATAATATCTGATGTTATGAATTATTTTTTCCAATAGAACCTGAGGAACAAGAAGTAGCATCACAGAAAGTAAGGCTTGAATTTTGAAGGAGAAGCTCATGGAATCATTTTAATTTTGTCACCATTAGTTAAAAAGCATAGATAAATCAAGGGAAATACCACACTTTCTATTGGTTTGATCATAGCAGCGTGGTTATCCATGTGGGAAGTTAGATAAATATAGGAGAAGTTTGTGCATCATAAGGTTGAGGAAAGTAAAATACAAACTTCTCTTGTGTTCTCACAACATCTGAAGTGGGCCATTATGTCAAACTCAGTAATAGAAAGTGTGGTTTATTGCTTTGATTTAATAAACTGGAAATGCTAACACTTTTCTATGGGTCTACTGATGCAATGAAGGACAGGTTTTTGACTAGCCAGAGCACTTGCAGTTTGTCTGGTATTTTTAAATATTTTTGAAACTAGCACATTTAAGGAATGAAAGACCTCACCACAGGGTAAATTGATGAAATTTGTCTTTGAAAATGGCAAAAATTTGCCTTGGTTGCCACAATTTTGAATTTCTCATCTATGTTTTGTTTTAAAAATTCCAAGGAATGTGGCCAATTGGAAACCTGTTGGTGGCCTGTTGGTTATATGTTACCAACAGTAGCTGGTAGCTGATCTTCACACTTTATCAATGCTAAGCTTAAGAAATTAGTGTTGTTCATCAATTAAAATATTTTCACACCAGTTGTGATTTTTTTTATCAGATTGGACTACCGGGAGATCCTGGAGAGAAAGGAGACAGGGTAAGTTCACTTATAACAGGAAAATGTTGAAATGATACTTGAAAAAATGGTTGGTAATTAACTAAAAGTTTCATTTCCAAGACAAGCCAAGTGCTCACCTGGGTCGCATAGTAAATCATGCTGTTTTCTCAAAGTGTCCTGTCCCCTCTTTTTCCTGGTAACTAAAACTCTGTTTGAACTGGTGAACAGTTAATAATATTGGGGGTGCAAATTTGCAGGGTGCAAATTCAATTTCACTTTCAAAAGTGTCTGCATCTGCTTATGAGAGAGTGTCTACTTATGGGAATGTGTAAATACAGAGTTTGACAGAGTTGGAGGTAAAAAGGGACTTAAAAAAGTGTCTGGAAGTAAAGCTGTCCATTAACGAGAGTAACTGTTCGCAAAGAGATGGCTGTAGTAAAGAATTTTGAGAGTGCATGTGCTGTTGTTAGTGACTGTTATTGACAAAATGTTTATCTTATTTCAAGGGTGATCAAGGAATTGCAGGACTTGCTGGACCTCGTGGAAACCGTGGAGAACCAGTAAGATGTTATCTTTAATAAAGTATGCCCCTGCCCATCAGAACATGGTGGCCTATAGCTTACAGTTTAAGTGTAAAAGCCTATGGTGGAGGAGGTCTGGGTTGGAGACCTGTATACATCTTGTTTTCTATTTTTGGGCAGGGTACTTTACCCTCACAAAGCCTCTCTTTCACCAAGGAGTATATAACTTTTACTAAGTGACTTTCAGGTCTGTACTGTAAGTTATGGACCAAGATTTTTTTTTGGTCAAATATATGGCCCATTTTTGTGTGAAGAGGATTAGGGCCATAAATCTGAGTGAGAAAAAAAAAACAGTCCTGTAATGTATATTGCTTTTGAACTAAGAGAGAAATCTGATATATAGCTAGGGGTACATATAGGTAAGGAGGGTGATACCTTATCATTTAGTGCAGATTAGCAATATTCCTAATTCCTTCAAGTTGTTTTATTGAGGTAAAACCTAACTTAACACTAAATCCCCTTTATTAAAGAGAGAAGATCTAGATTTTAGTTTTATCAAGCATATAGCAAACGTACTGGCAAATTTCATAAACCATACAATTTATTTTTATGGTTTCTGAAACATGATCAACTTAAATTACACTATGGCCAACTACTGACAACAATACTTATGGTCACAAAGCAAACCATCAAATGGCAAAGACAATGCAAAATGTACCTGATGATTTGGATAGAAGGAGTACATGAGATGCAGCAAAGAAACAATCATAGCACGACAAACTGCATAACATTACCATCTTTTTCACACAAAAAATTTCAATATTTGTATAGGGATGTGAGGAGACTGAAGCCTAATTTGTAGATAAATTGCTGACCCTTAAATTTGTTGTAACACAGCAATTAGACCTAGCAAACTGTATGGAAGAATTGCTCTCTATGCAGGAGACTAATGGAGAACTGGTGAGAGTTGACATGTGATGTGTGTTTCAGTGTTATATTGTTGTTCTTCTGTAGGGTGCGCCAGGTGCTGATGGACCAAAAGGAGAACCTGGTGTGACTGGACCACGTGGGCCGCCAGGTCCTCCTGGGCCCATAGTTGATGTTTCTCCTACGGGAGTTCCTGGACCAGATGCAGGTCCTATTGGACATGTGAGAAAAATCCTTTAAATGATGATGTTACATGTTGTCACCTTTCTGCTTGTAAATGTATTGATTCTGTAAGGAGGAGTTTATTCTTGTTTAATCCTGGGAGTGAAATGGTTATTTTGTTACCAGCTTTATGCTTCTTGTTAGTGAATATGAATAATTTGGTCTACCAGGTCATCCTGTCTAGTGATTCAAAGGGCCCTGGAGCTACTAGGATCCAGGAAATCAGAGGAGACAAGGGTGCCCGTGTAAGTTATTCAATTTTTTTTTTTGATCAGTACATATATCTTGTGAGATGAGGTGTTGGAAAGTAAAAAGAGAGGTTAACCCTTTACAACCTAACATCAGTTTGCATGTTGTCCACACTGTATTCCAAGTGTTTTACAAGGAGAATTTTAATGTGTTAGTTTGGGGGGATATTGGAAAAATTAGATATTAATCACCCTTAAGGGTCAAAGGTTTAGGATTGGAACAAGGCTTGACAACAGGGATTGTACCAGACACAGTTGTTTAGGGTGGAAAAGCCTGGATGAGGAGAGGAAGAGGTATGTCAGTAGCAGTAATAGGACTGAGTGAAGCTCTAACTGTTTGGAATGATACCAGTCATAAACAACATCAGGCAAGTGCGAAGCAAGGGTCTGAGGTAGTAATCAATGGTATAATTGCAGATGGAATTGAGTGTGTCAAAGCTCTTTGAGGAGAGGTGCTGGTGGAGCACACCCCCTTCAAGATGACCTGCAGCTTTCTTATATAATTAAGATCATGCAGTAAATTTGTTTATATCATTGGTCAGTCATGGTGACCAATTTTGAGCACACCTTTGCAACAGAGAAGTGACAAGGATGCATCCAAACCAGTCACAAGATACTTTAATCTTCCTAATCATTCTATGCCACATATTGCAATATGTGGCCTTTTCCTACATCTAGAAAGTTCAGAAAGCCACAAAACTCATGAAAAAAAATTTATTTTTCAAATTGGCTCTCTTAATCCCCATGGTATCAACAAACACTTTTCATTCAACTAATTTCCTCTTGTTTTTCTTGTTACAACCAATAGCGTAACCCCAATTTTTCCGTCTATAAACATACACACTACCCACAATTCCTCCATTTCCTTTGACAAAGGGCCAACACTCAAAACGTCAGCTTTGAAACTCCTAACGGTGGCCAATTTATGTTATCAACTCAGTTGATAATACCATTCCTTAGTTGTGCAAAAAGAAAAATCCTGGATCAGCCTTTGTATCAGTAAAACACATCCAGAAATAGAAAAGTAAAACTTGATGTTATTCAGAAAAGAAGAGTGAACCTAGAGGTCTTGAATTCTGTGTGTGTGCTTGTTCTCATTTTGCTTTGCTTGTGTGTAAGATCAAGGCTGACATAACCAGCTCTTGAAATGTTTCTGTAGTTGTTTGTTTAGAATTGTTATGTAGTACTGACTGATTTGTGTGTTTTCTTTGTCTGTTTGTAGGGTGCTATTGGAGAGGCAGGAAATCCAGGACCTAGAGGACCTGATGTATGAGTAATAACCTAGTCTGATGAAAATTATTTAATTATACAGATGCTCTCTGTTAAGTGTAGGAAGTAATTCAGGATAATATTAGTTTTGCTTCTTGAAGCTCTATGATAGGTTGTGGAGGCCCATGCCATCTTTAAAGGAGGAATTTTTCATTTGCATTTTCCTGCATTTAACTGGTTAATTTTTTATTTGGAGTTCTGGTTGCCTCCTTGTGATGTTTATTCTTGTTCTGATTGGCTATCTTGAGAGTGCTTATTCTTAATTTCTTCCTGAAATCACTTCAAATAGTATAGTTGCTTCCTACAGGGTGCTACAAACATTTGAAAATGGAAGAAATATATTAGGATTTTCTGGTCAAAAGTGAAGGAAAGTAAAAGAATTCTCTTACTTCTCAGGAGAATTGAATCTCATAACTTTACCTTCTCTGAACTTTCATCTTCTACCACTGAGCTGTTTGGGGCCTGTCTCAATAAAAGCCAGTTACAGGTGTACCACAACCTGTAAGACTTCTCACTGCTGTCTATTCAGCCTGTGAAAAGGCTCTCATATTTGGGTTTTGCCTTAAGGCCCGGCTGCCTTTTATAACATTGGCTGCCACTTAAGGTTAAATTTATTGAATACTCTGGCTGTGAGGAATGTGTTAGCAAGCTTGGCCACATCATAACTGGCTTTGTGAGTGACTAATGTAACTTGTAAGCTAGATAAGCAATGTCAAATGCATGGGGTGAATTTGAGCCTGGTTGTTGAATGATGAAAGATGCGATTCCTTTTGTCACAGGCCCCATTTTAAGTTGTCCATAAATTGTAAGTTAATTAATTGAAATTATTTTTCTTGCAGGGTGCACAAGGAGAACCAGGAGCAACAGGTGCCATTGGTTCTCCTGGAACAGCGGTATGCTCAACTGCTTTGATACTGCTGTGCCTATTCACCAATATCTTTTGTTGCATGCTTCCTCACTTAAATGAAAGGTGGTTGGTAAGGGTATCTAGTGGTTTCCTTTGTGGCCAGCCAGCCAGCCCTGCTTATTATTACAATTCCAGAGGTACAGAAGCCTTAGTTTGTAACCTAGCTTGACCCATAAACCTGAGAAAATCATCCCTGATGAAAAATAAGAGGCAAAACTGCTGCTGAACAATGGAAGACAACTGCTACTATACTACTGAAGAACATATGAAGACAACTGCACAAAACTGCTTGTGAAAACTTGGAGACTGCGAATTGTGGCAGTTGACTTTGTTAAATGTACCTTTTAATGACTTTTGATTGGCAAAGTTCAGTTGAATGGACACAACAGTCAGGCTTAAAATTGTTCAAAATGTTTGATTCCCTTTGCCACAGGGAAGCCCAGGATCTAATGGATCTCCTGGTGAACCTGGACAAGCTGGCAGTGATGTAAGTAAATAGATAAAATTATGTCTAGTTTGTTGAAATATATAGAGTACTATACAAAACTTCCTTTGTATCTTTCTCTCGAGCTCACCCACATACTGTGTTTGTTGCAGCCATCTTTCAGTGTATATTAGAATTGGAAAATAAGTAAATTTTAAGATGACAAGATAGTGACTGGAAACTTGAGAGAGACCATAATTGTTGAGTTAACTGGTGAGGAAAGCACAATGTTCAACCATTGATCACTTGGAAGCAACATACAGATAGAAACTTCCCTTGAATTTATTCATTCACAATGTTCTACTACGAAAACAGAAGGTTGTGTATAGTCAGGAACTCCCAATGAAATCTGCAGCACCCCTTTTTTTTTTACCTTTGACTAAATTGTACTCCTTTCATTAACTGTAATCAGATTCACCCTTGATTCAAATTTGCTTCTCTCTTCTTTCAACCTCATTACTGCATGAACATTACTTAATATGCCTAACATATTGGGAAAAATGGAATTATTGATTGAAATCAAGAATGAAATTGAATGGTAATGTATATATTTTGTTCTCATCAGGGTCAACCAGGACCACCAGGACAGTTAGGGGACATAGGGGACCCTGGAGCATCTGTAAGACCCTTATGCTGATTGTAAAATGATGAGGCTTGCATTGATTTCCCACAAATATCCATTGTGTCATATCTCAATGAACCCCTTCCTCCTCTAGACCTCTCTAGTCCATTTACTATGCTTTTATTGTGCTTGTAGTCACAAATGCAATGCAGGTAGAGTGATACTGTCACTATTATTCAATTAGATATCATTCAACACCTTAATTAGCTTGGAATTAACTAATTGTTCTTCACAAACAACTGGACAAAATGTCTGGCAATCCAACAAGTTGACAATGTTTGAACAGACAGTGCCTGTTGACCATCTGTTATTTCAAGCACGGCAGTGATGATGTAAAACAGGTACAACAAATGCCTAACAAAAAACCTGGACTATTACAGCTTATTATTAACTAACTAATTTTCTATGAACAAGGTCTATGAACTTATTGTCAGTATTTTGTTACTATAGGGACAAACTGGTCTGCCTGGTGCACCAGGTCTTCGCGGTGTGAAGGGTGACATGGTAAGTGAAAGATGACATGCACTTAAGATATCCAGAGTGTGTCAGAATCTTGTCAAAGTAAAACTGTTCACAAATTTGTAGTTTCAAGTGGTAAGGTCACTCTCTGGAATCTCAATATGCAGAGAGTGTTCTGTAGTTTTTAATGATATGATGGACACAGAACCATTGTGTTTTTTAGTATATTTCTCCTTTGAGGTAAGGCTACCTAACATAAAAGTGATTTTGCAGTCCAACTATGATTTCATTGCAGGGATCACAAGGAGAGCGTGGTGACAGAGGAGAAACTGGAGAGGGTGGAGAACAAGTAAGTAATGATGATTCATTTCATTTATGTCACTTAGGCTTGCTTTATGAAAGGTCCATTGTTTTTAAATATTTTGGTTCCAGGTTAGTTTTTTTCATTAAAGTGTTCTTTACTTTAAGAGATGGTGCAAAAGTAAGAGCACTTGCCTCCCACAGCCAGGGTGTAGCCAGCATTTTGACATCTTTTAGGCCTGTACCCTTAAAAAAGTTTAGTTTTTTGTTTCACAATTTGCAAGAGTTATCTATAAAAGCCAAGGGGGGAGTAAAATATTGTAGTCCCAGTTTGAAAGGATTTTAGACTGGTAGCTAGCACCTGAGTTCAATTCCTGGACCTAGCTGGTGTCACATGTGGGTTGAATTTGTTGTTGGTTTTTCCTCTGCCTGTTTTCCAACCTCCACAAAAGTTGATGTTCCAAATTTCAATACTACCTGGAAACAGTGGACAAGAAGAGTGATCATGTGGAATGTCCACTATGAAATTCCCATGTTTCAAGAGTTTGACAAGAGTAATTTTTATAGAATTAAATAAACTCCTTAAAATGAACAGTACCTTGAAGCCACTGACAAATTAAGCAAGTCCCAAAAGTAATAGTCCCTTGAAAGAAGCACCTTGCTCTGAAAGCGGCAAGAAAATCCCAGATTTTAATAGATCCAGAAAGTAGTGACACTCTGAGAGTAACCACCTTGAAGACAAATATCCAACCATAAATTTTATTTGCCTTGGGGGAGTTTCAAGCTGCTATTTTTTTAGGTTGCAATGGCAAGGAAAAACTAGTGTGGGGGTCACCAAATTCTATGGTTACCAATGACACATGTACATCTTTGATGGTTTTGTAGTAAGCTATAATACTATTACAACTGTACTTTATGTTTATGGGAAAAAACATTGGCTTGAAATGCAGTGTGATTGTGAAACAAAACTTGCCTTTCCATTTTCTATTGTAATATTTTTTTTCTGACAACCATCATATGATTCCTGGGCACCAAATGATTGCTTTTCGAGAGTTTAAGCATGTACAGTAGCTCTTCTTAAATGTAGAAAACTTCTGAAAAAATAATAGAAACAGGGCTCCAAAAAGATATTACAAGGGCACGATGCTCTTAAAGACATAATGATGTGTCTCCATAGGGTCCATCAGGTGAAGTAGGAAGGGATGGACAAGACGGAGTAAAGGTGGGCATATGGTATTTGTTGGTCAGTGTTTTTTTTAAATAAACCACCTCCTCCTTTACATGAAACACCCATCTGTCAGGTTGTCATCGAGATATTTTTGATATGGGAGCTAACGTAGTAAATAAACCCTTTTCTGTGGCTGTGAGATTGTTCAAAAAATGAATAGTTGGCCAAGGTTATTGTGAGGTTATTTGCTAAGGTTATTGGGGATTATTACGTGATAAGTGTGCGGTGATTTTGTACCATATGAAGTAAAGTAGCCAAATGAATATATATAGTCATGCAAAAATTATTGGGTGGGTTATGATGTCAGATAGTACATGAAATAATTATGATGACACTGCTTGCAAACCATTGACACAGATTGAGAATTGTTGTATCAGGCAACATCTTTTCTGCATATTTTCTTCAAAGTACATCAGTACATTCATTTATCCTATGGTTATATATTAAAATAATGCTTATCCTATTTCAGGGAGATCAAGGAACTCGAGGAAACCCAGGAGAACTGGGGGCACCTGGTGATAGAGTAAGAAAATTAATAATTAGAATTAACCCTTTACACCCTAACATCTGTATGTATATTCTCTATTCTGTTCTTTATACAGTTCCTAAGGTGCTTAAGGGAAGAATTTGTTTTGCAATCAAGAGCTTGGTGATCATTTCCTTTATTCACATGACCTTAGTGTTTGATTCAGGGTTGATATTGTATGGAGAAAATAGATGCTAGTCACTCTTTAGGGTTAAAAGGATAAATCTAGTGGCTGTTCTGGATAAATTGTTTACTGGATTGAAAAAAGTAGATATTTCTCGTGATGTTTAGAGAGGTGAAACTGTGCATTTTTCATTAAGGGTCCCACAGGACCAGCAGGAGCAAGTGGACCTGAGGGTGCTGCAGTAAGTGTTCATGATAACTTAGATGAAAGCAAGCTATAATACTTGTTAGCACAGTAGGAAGCTAAGGGGGAGGGGAAGGGAAAATAGGAGAAGAATTCCTTTGTTTGGCCTGGACAAGTATGTGCCATCCAACAAGCTGTTTTTTTTTTCTTTTAGAGTCTTGACTCTTAATCTTGGCATGAATTTTCACCCTTCAAGATTTTGAATGGGGTACTGTTCAAGATCCACTATCTTGAACTGGGTGTGAATGTTCACTATGTGGATCATGCATATGTGATACTAAACATTTTTCAAAACTAATGCTGAATATCATGTCTGAATTTACCAGATTTAGCAGAAAGTATTGGTAGTTCATGAGGCAGAGGTTCAAAGTTGGGTCACACTGTGTCAAACAGAGGGTTCTCACAAGTTTTTGCCACCTGAATATTGCAGGTTGTCGGCTTTAAAAAGGCTTACAAAGGGGGGAAGGGGGTCACAGGCAACCAGGCCCCCCCATGGCTATGCCCTTGTCCCATAATTGTAACATCTTTATCTTCATTCACACTTGGGTAGCCAAATTACAGGTTTTTATCTTGTTGGGTCAGGGTTTGAAACCAGTGGAAGTACAAATCCACCCAGATTCAGCTTTAGTACCCTTCCCTCCTTCCACGGAGAGTGGCAAGTAGAGGGTGAAGTACCAAGCTAAGGCCTTATCTGCACTGCATTTGAGTACTTGTACCTTGAAAATGCAACTTTATTGCTAAGGTTTGCGCTGCTAGTACTGTTCATGTCAATCTGGATAAATTGTCTATGGAGGATGGAGCTTTCCAAAAATGCAGATGACACAGCTCATAGTATAATATTGAAGGGATGAGCTGACCCATAGTATGTGTATACTGTACTTCAGAATGCTGTAGATAAACATCCATTTTGTGGATATGCCACCATTCAAATCCTACCATTTTTGAATTGTGCTTGTTGACATCATCTACTGAAAATTCACCCCAAGCCTTGTTTGCACCAAAGTTTTTATGAATCTTTATCACTTTCTTTTTGGTTTCATTGGGGTATTCTTTTAATTTCAGTGTTTTGGGAATACTTTCCTGTCTTAAAAGGGTCCTTAAAAAAATTGTGCATATGTTGTAGGGTTCTCCTGGTCCGAGTGGTAACAGTGGATCACCAGGTGCCTTAGGGGCTAAAGGAAATCGTGGCTTGATGGGCAGAGCAGGTCCCAGGGGAGGCAGAGGAGCTCCAGGAGCTGAGGGTGCGAAAGGACCAGGTGGAGAGCCAGGAAATCCAGGCAAAAATGGTGCCCCAGGAGAGCCAGGTTTTAAAGGAGAACAGGTACTTTGTGCGTGATTTCTCTATCTTTTTTCTTTACTTCTACACATCCATGGTAGTATTGTGAAACAGAGTTTTAGTGCCCCAGATGTTCAAATTTGTCATTCCTTGACTCACACAGACTAACCAACTTCGTAGTTCTGTTGGGGTGTGTGTGAAAGATTAAATTATCAATGCTTGTTGGAAAAAATTTGTTTTCCCTTTTTTTTTTTTGTTGTCTCTATAAAGCTTTCTTTTATTAGCCCCTTATGTATGGTTTCAAGATTCTGATGAGCTGTCTTTGTTTCTTCCTTCTGTTTTGAAGTATATACTACATTCGGTATTTATCAAAGCTGGATAACCATGGAGAAAAAAAGTGACTCACATTTGGTTCACAATTAGTGAAAACATCTTAAACATCTTTTTTAATATGTTCTTGTCTGAATGTCTTCTAAAATTATTATTTTTTTATCAGAGCTGTTATAATAGATGGACTTATAGTGGGCTGGGGAGGGGTGGAAGGGTGGGAGTGAAAGGGGGGGGAAAAAGTCCATTCAGGTCTACCAATCACTAGCTACAGGTGAAAAAGGTGTTACAATAATGAACTACATCACTCATAATTTGTAACAGCTGTAAAGAGGGTGACATGTATGCATTTAGATGTGTTTGTGTAATTTTATGTGTTTCACCTGCTCCCTTCTTGTCTTGTTAATATGCTGTAGCTGAATTGTGAATGAAGATAAATGTATAACTTTACCTTTTCATACACATATCTTCTTTTTGATAATCTTATTTTACTGAAATTTATTTTTCACTGGTTAGGGTACAATGGGTCCTACAGGACCTGTTGGCCTTATTGGAAATGCTGGACCAGATGTAAGTAATAACACCGTGATTTATCATTATTTTAATATATTTTTTTAATATTTATACCACAAAAAGGCTTTGTTGCTCTTCTGTTTTCGACCACTTTTGTGTCCAAACTGTCATACAGGTTTTGTTACATCATGTTAAGTTTGTAATGCACATGTTCAACCCAGGGGTCAGGAGTAAAAAGGAATTGTGTGTTACCCTGTATGCCAATTCTTTTGACTTGCAGTCATTATTATAACATGGATGCAACACAAACAAAGAGGTTTTCTCAATTGATTAAGTCTGTGAACTCTCCCAGAGAAGAGTCTGTCTTTACAGTGTCCACAACAATGTGCCACATAAATTTTCAATTTTAGTGATAGCACTTCTGTTAATAGTTATATTTTTATATTACTGTTTGTTATGTTGCAATGCCCTTGTCTCACCTTCAGTTTGCTTTTTTCAGGGGCTTACTGGCATTCCCGGTGAACCTGGTAGGCGTGGAGAACAGGTCTGGAAATAAACTTTTCAAACTCATTAATAATTCAAGAGATCAACTACCAACCACAAGATGTATACCACATCATGTGCATGTGTTTGGATATCCAATGAAAAACAGTATACCACTCTCCAGTGAGAGTGGTATATACCACTAAAATATGCATAATGACAACTTGCACAAAATCAATGAATATTTATTACTCACAAGTAACCTTACTTTTACAATGCTTCATTTTCTTATTTAGCTCCTTTACAAAAACTCAACCCACAGCCTCGTGCTTTCATTTGTTTCTTGGTGTTTGGATACCCCGATGAAACACTCGCTCTCGTTTTGGAAATAGTACTTCTCAACCTGCATTGGAGATGTTGGGTTGTTCTGATTTTTATCAGCCTTGTATCTAGGATTATAAAAAGGGTTTGTTCATTTCATCTTTAGGGAGCTCCTGGAGTACCTGGAAGAAGAGGACTGGAAGGAGCCAAAGGACAATTGGTTTGTTGATGGACTCATAACTTCATACACTTATTAAGGTTCATGCTGTAAGCGCAAGCAAAATTTTGAGTTAAAATTAAAGATTCACTAATTGTTGGCATTGTGTTTTCCTTGGTTGGTTATGAAGAACCTTGTTTAATGGTTAAAACTACTGAGCAATTCATATCTCTTGTTAAGTAAGTTAAGATTGCAGAATCTTAAAGGGAAACCATTCACGCTGCAGTTTATGCTTCTTGAAAAAGCCTTGCATCTTAATTAACATCAAGATAGTTCTCTAATGGCCAAGTTCTTTTGTCTTGCATTTTAATTGCCAAGATAGAAGATGTGGCTTTCATAATTGAACAACAGTTTTATGAGAATTATTTCCTTTCCAAAAGATAACCAAAGAAATTAATCCACCAAGTAAACTGAAATTAATTGTGGTTTGGATAGAGAACTTTTATCTAAATAAGGAAAAAAAAGTGGGTTCAAAGAGGGAAGAATGTAAATTAGCCACAACAATCTATTTCCTTTTTACCTGATAATATCAGGCAATTCTGAGCTTTTTGCCTGTTTAGCTTACCAATCAGAACACAGGATCCACTTCTTGCTCTGCTAAATGCAGATGTACAGAACAGTTAGACTTGCAGAAGGATTGTATGAATGCAAAGTCTGCATTGAAACCCTTTTTTTTTGGGGGGGGGGGGGGGGTTGACTTTTGTATTCCTAGAAGTGAGGAAAGGAAATTTCTATCAGAATTCTCAATTAATTTTATTGGAAACAAGTGATGAGAATTGACCAAAATATTAGTAAGGGGGAGAATGGTTCTTGGAAGTTATATTATCAAGTGTGCATGTTTGTTGTTTTTTCATTCTGATGTTACCTGCATGTATTGTTTGTTTCTTTATGTCTAGGGTAGCGCTGGAACTGCAGGTCCACCTGGACAACCTGGGCCTCAAGGAAAACGGGTAATGCCTGAATCATGAAAAGATAAACATAAATCAATAAGTACTATTTTTAACTCACTACCTGAAATATGTTACAATAAGAGCACTAAATGAATATAGAATGATGGATCCTCGAAGTTATGAACACTACTGAACTAGTAGTTGAAATAAGACCTGAAAAAAATTCTGGCCCACACAGGATTTGAACCCATGACCTCTGCAATACTGGTGCAGTGCTCTACCAACTGAGCTAACAAGCCAACTGGGAGCGGGTCATTATGTTGGATCCAAAAAAACCTTCAAAGGGGTGAATAATGGCTGTAAACATATGAAAATCATGTGTGCACTGTGGTTGAAAAAACAAATATAGAATCGATCCTCACAGTTGCAAACACTACTGAACTAGTAGTTGAAATAAGGCCTGAAAGAAATTCAGGCCCATACAGGATTTGAACCCATGACCTCTGTGATACTGGTGCAGTGCTCTACCAACTGAGCTAACATGCCAACTGGAGCTGGTCATTATGTTGGATACAAACAAACCTTTGAAGTGGTGAATAATGGCTGTAAACATATTAAAATCATATGTATGCACTGCAGTTGAAGAAACAAATATAGAATCAATCCTCGCAACACTAGTTCACATCCCTCCTATGTGGAGCCATATCATTCTCATCTTGACTTGAAACCACTTAATTATCATCTTTTGAGAATTATTGAGGGGATTTGATCTCTTCAAGGTTGACATAAGTTCACCAGTCCTCTCTTTTGGTTCACTAGGGATCACCAGGAAAAACAGGACTACCAGGAGGACTTGGTTCCCCAGGTCCAATAGTATGTTGACCAAGATGACATCTTAATAGAACTTTGTATTTTCCAGGAGAGTTACATCAAGAATATTCTTCAAATGAGATATAACTTTACAAGCCCATGCTGTTTTAACCATCTAATTTTGTAATTAACTTCATGAGATTATAGAGTTCTGTTTTTCATTTCTATCCCCCAGAGTAGTTTCTACCAATCTTTAAGTACTTGTTAGTACTAAAGGTACTTATATTCTTTGGAACTAAGTTTAGTATCAGCATTTTGTCTTTTTCATAGTGGATATAAAAATATGTACAGTTTATACCTATTCCTGGCTCGAATGTTTAACACCCATGGATATATGTTTTTTGAGGGGCCAGACATTTTTCTGAGTCCCAAAGGGGTGGAAAACATGTGACAAATGAGTGGTTTATTATGGTCCTATATTTTACATGTTTTCTTGACCTTAAATGTACAATGTGATAGCTATACATGGAATATGTGTAGAAAGTGGTGTAATTTTTGACTTGACTGGACTCGCATGAATTTGTTTTTAGGGTCCTTCTGGTAATCGAGGCTATTCTGGTGCAGAGGGAAGGCAAGGAGTGAAGGTAAGCAGACCTTGTAAAAGGGCAAAGGATGCAAGTTTCTAAAAAAACTGTGGTTCAGCATGGGTGGAAGAGTGATACATGCTAACTTAGTATTATCAACTGAGTTGATAATGTAAATTGGTCATGGTAAAGAGTTTGAAAGCTGATGTTTTGAGCGCTAGCCCCAATTGAGCAAATGAAAGGGCAGAAGGACATGAAAGGGCAGGCAGACAAACAAATAGAAAATATCATGCATAGAACATTTGAAATAATTCTACCATTGCTGTTCACCAATAGGAGTCTGAACGACAAGTATACTAGAACAGCAGTAATATTGTTTTACAAAATTGACTTTGTACTGTCTACAATGAGGTTCTCTCTTTACAGTTTGCTCTTTGCTTCAATAATGTTTAGGGTGACAGTGGTAGAAATGGAGAGAATGGACGGGATGGAGGAAAAGGAGAACAGGTAATATTAATGTCATGTGTGGTTAATGACGTGATTTAGGACATTTAACTCTATATAACCTATATAACGATGGGCTCTTGCAAAAACAAGTAAAGATATTTTACTTACAGCTGTAGTATTAGCTTGCTCAGGTGCATTTTAAAAATGAAGGTATTTTTTGCTTGTTTATTAAGGGATCGCAAGGGGAACCTGGTAATCCAGGCCGATCAGGACCTCGGGTAAGTATTAAAGTTATCAATACAGTTAAATGTGCTCAGAAAGAATTACTGGTGGAATGCCCATTTCTGAATTTTTTTTGAAGGGCAGGTAATACTATCCAACAGGTAAATTGCAATTCTCTAGATGTTTCAACAAAACCTTCTCTTTTATCCACTGGGTAGAGAATTATCGAGTGCATTGTGTTATCTATCCTTCAAACAAGTAGGCCATATATGCCTAGTGGGCAGCAGTCTGTTTGAAAGGGCATGCACAATAGTCCCTCACAGTGTGCTGGTTATGTTTCAGCTAGTGTGTTACTCTAAGAGTTGTTTCTCAGCCTCATTCTCCTCTCCCTTTCTTTCTTACCCTGATTGTCTGGAATATTAGATTCAGTTCCCTTCTGAAGGGATTCGTTGCTTGTTTGCCAGCTTTTACCAGTCATAAGCACTGGCTGTTTGAAGTGGACACTATACGTGTAGGCGCTCAAAGTAGTTAAGAACTGTGCAGTTGTTGATTTTAGTGAAGTTACTTTGAGCGTGAACTCAACTACATCTATTCTCACTACACATACTACTGGTTCATTTCCTCCTTAATTGTTTTTGCCTGTTTATACTTGTTAGTTTACTGTTTAGTTTGTTGTCAAGTGTTGTTTTCTAAGTTTTATCAAATGAACCATTCCATCTATTGCAACAAGACCTTTGTGTTAGGTTAAAATATGGTAAGTTCACAATGAATAATAGTATTTTTAACATCAATAATTTGGTTTAAAATTCTGGAACTTGGTGGTTTCATTATATTTAGGGAGACACAGGTGCTGCAGGAAAACCAGGAAAGTCAGGCTCTCAAGGAATTCCGGTGGGTCAATAAAAGCAATAGTAATGCAGTTGTAGCATTGAGTGAAAGGAAATTCAAAGAGTAATTGGATTAGTGATCAATATACAAAGTGAGAGAGCAACCAGTGTCACCTTTTGGTAGATTTGAGATTCTGTCTAGCACCCTGACAACTTATACTAACAACGTTATAGTGAGATGCAAGATTAACTAAAAGTAAGTGGTGTCAACGACACATTTCCAGGGAAACATCTTAAAGAAAATTTGTCAAAATTTTTAAAAGTTTTAAAATGTAATCAGTGTTACAAACACAGACATCTGCATACTGATACAGTGTAAGAAGCTTTTATGTATACATACCTTTAAGCTTAATATTTTGCAAGTCTGCATTTTGCATGAAAACAAACGCAAACAGGAAATATAGTCAGTTGTGAATCACACCAAATTTTCAGCTCAGCTTAGTTCTTTGGTGGGTGTACTAATGTTGTGACTGCAGATTTCATAATGTATGAAATTATTTAAATGACAGGCAATATTTGGGCTTGCGTTTGTTTTCTTTGTATTTTAGAGTTTGTGAAATGTTGCAGTCCTTTATTGCAAGAACAGTATTGGAAAATTGACTCAAAATATTTTTATTTTTCTTAGGGTGTTGATGGAGAGGATGGTACCCCTGGAATACCTGGGGTCCCTGTATGTTACCTTTCACTTTATTGTAAATTGTGTGTTTTTTGAACCAGGTAGAACTTAGGTTCTTCCACCTTTAAATTAGTTGACTATTGCACCCAACAATTAGATACCTCACAAAGCTCAAATCTTGATTATTCAATGGTTTGGGTTTGTGAGTTTGCGTGCTGCTGGTAAAAATTACTTTCTTTTGGGAATGGGCTCTTCTTGTTTGAAATTCCAGCCAGAGTTTTGGACTCTACTACCTATATTTCTGGAAGGATCCATCTGATCACATTAAGTATCCTGACTGTGCTACATAAGATCCTGTAAATTTCAAGTACCAGCAGGGCTGTAACCATTCTTTTTCTGGTGGGATCAAAGCACATTCTGTTTTTGATCCTGAAAGGTCCCTGCTTGGAATATATCCCTCACAGATCTGCATTCCCTTAATATATCCATAGTGGGATTTCTGGAATTCCTGTGGGAACTTGCAGAGGTTTTGTGTTTCATCCCAGGTGTTGTTGTAGAATATTCTAATAAATTTCAAGGGGTGCATGGGGAGGGGGGTGTGTGTGGATATCCTGACCGTGTTGCTTTACATGTAGATTCTGTGTAGTCCTACTGGGAATCTGGAATGTTAATATGGGATACTACCAAACATCAGTCTGTGGTGGGATTGGTGGAATTTCAGACACAGTTTTGGTGGGATTTTGTGTCCCATCACAGATGGGATGTTGAAATTTCACTTAGTTAGTTATTGCAGCTGCAGCAAAGGCAGTCATTTGTTAATGCTAAGCTTATGCCTCTGATCAATAAGTCAAGTGATGTTCATTGATAATGTAAATCATGCTGATTAATGAGTTAAGAGATTTCACTTTGTGATTGTTTATCCTTCTGGACTTAATTTTTTCTTTCAGGGCCCTCAAGGAGCACCAGGAACACCAGGTTTCTCTGGTCCTAAAGGAGCAGTGGTGTGTTTCATGTTATTGATGATGTGGATAGTTTTCAGTATATGTGCATGGACATTTTGTCTATCATTTACTTATAACTTGGTGTAGGGCTGATATTGCTCTCAGTTAAGAATGTTCACAATGTTGCTACATCAGAGTTTGTGCTGACATAACAGAAGAAATGGATTAGTAGCCAAAAGCCCAATTAAAAATTGGAAATCATCAAACAGTTATCAATTTTCAAGAGGAGATGGCAAGAATGTCAGTAACAGATCTTCTGAAAATACACTGTAGGGGTTCATTGTGTCTTTGGTTGTAAATTTTGCCTAAAGAGGTGGCATTGTATTCAATATTATAACTAAGGTGTGAATAGAGGATCCAGTTAGGGGATTTTGATTGGGTCGGCCATCATAGAATATGATTTAATATACCAAATGGACTATAAGTCACTAAACGGATCAAGAAAGATGGTCAATTTTGAGCTTGGTTGTCATTTCAGACATGTTTGTTAGACATGACATGTTTCATATAATGCTTGGTGTGGGTTCCACATGCCCCATTGGCTATCAGCCATCTCATATCCATTGCATGCTTCAAGATTAATTGATAACAAGTGTTGAGGCAACCTTCAAGCAACGTAATTGAAATTCGTTTATTTTCAGGGTAACGCTGGAAGAGATGGAAGCATAGGAGAACGAGGAGCAGATGGTCTTAAGGTAAAGGAGTGCTCCAATTAAGAGCTTTCCTCTTGAGGCTGTTTGCAGGTGTTAGTTATTCATGGAAGATTAACCTCTTCTTCCTTTTTAAGATCTGTCTCAGTGTTGGCTTTTGACAAATTGATTCGTTGTTCGTTGGTTCATAATCACGTCCTCCATTTTTGGGTGGTTCTCTTCTTTTCTCTCTATATCTCTGTATTATTCTTTAAAAAAATGATGTGACAATTTACGAAAATATCTTTCATCTGGTTGCAGTAATCAAAAGGATTTTACAATCCAGTTCAAGCAGTACTATTTTATTGATTTCTTAAGGAGTCGCCGACATGTAACCTATGGAGCTGTCAGTAGTGTCTCTTGACTGCAACAATTTCTTTCGACAGGGTGAACAAGGTGCCACAGGAGAGTTTGGTAAATCAGGCACACCAGGACTGGCGGTAATGAACAAGATATT